GCACTGTTTTGAGCATTTGTGAATGCTGGTTTTTGTAGCCTCTGACATGGGTGTTGAGTCAGTTCTGTGGTTTTGTTTTGAGTTTGTCTCTTTGTTTTGAGTCAGTCTTTTTGATTAAGGGTCTGTCTTGTTGTATCGAGTCAGTCTGCCTGCTAGTGCGTCTAGCAAGAATCCACAGACTTCGAAGTATCTGCCCCGAGGGCGCAGACTCTTTCACGCTCTCTACATGCCTCTGTCTAAGGCACTTCAAATCCTGGCTGAAAAGGGACATCTTAAACCCCTCGAGCCTAGGCCTCTCCCTAGTCATCTTCCAGCAGGCCATCATGCTACTCAGTACTGCGCGTACCCTCAGCAAACCGGTCACGCCACTGACAACTGCTTCCGTCTTCGCCATGAAGTATAGGACTTGATCGACAATGAGGTCATCCTCCCACCTACCTCAGCAAAGTCTGTCACCACTGAGCTTTTGGACTTCGAAGATACCACAAGTATGTGATCAGGGGTTGGACCACTTGCGGGCGGCGCTCAGTATATTTCAGATGTGGCGTGTGGCACGCACTGTTTTGAGCATTTGCGAATGTTGGTTTTTGTAGCCTCTGACTTGGGTATTGAGTCAGTTCTGTGGTTTTGTTTTGAGTCAGTCTCTTTGTTTTGAGTCAGTCTCTTTGTTTTGAGTCAGTCTTTTTGATTAAGGCTCTGTCTTGTTGTATCGAGTCAGTCCTGTTGTATAGAAGTCGGGTGATTCCGGGGGTGTTGCTGCGGATATCACTATTTTGTTTTGTGTTTGTCCTTTTGTTTTTTTTTGAGTCTGCTTTTGCCAGGGAGCCAGTTGTGCCAACAGATCTAAATGAAACAGCAGTGATTTTCATACCCTTGTGTTTGCTTCTGCCTTGTGCTAGTTGTGCCGGAAGTTCCAAATGAGATGGCGGTGCTTTTCACTTGCTTTTCTGTGCCTTGAAATCATTGCATTGACCTAAGTTTTTTTCAAAACTTTTTGAACATTGTGATGAAAACAAAGAGGAAGGAATTCCTCGGGATTTGCAAAAATTTGATCAATTGAGAGAAAGAGAGGCATGTTAAGCCCTTAATGAATGAAATCATGTTTATTAG